CAACAAACTCCGAAGCGCTCTAACAACGGATCCACCTACGCAGCCGTTGCTGAAGGTATAATCAAAGCGCGACTCCTGTAGCCTCACACAGTACAGCCGCAAAAAGGGTCACGCACCAGGTGCAACCTGCAGAGACTTCACTGAAACCTTCGATAATCGTGCTTCCCAAATCACCAAAAACCAGACGGTACTGTGGTGCCTTGACACTTATATGCCCCACGTTCCTGCGTCCAAACCAAAATACTAAAGTGGTAAACTGCTGGACTATTTAAAGCAGTGGAATGTTCTTTAGTGCTAGAATCAGAGTGCAAGCCAGTCCAACTATTATACGCGTCACTAGACATTTGTTAGGTACGTTTACCACTTTCTCAAAACATGTTTGTGGAACTGCACTTTCATTCATCTACATGGAAAACCTAATCACACGCAATGGGTTCTACACAATGTGATATACGCGCGATGTCAAAACAGCAGTTGACCTTGTCCATTACCACGTAAGCACCAAAGCACCTGACAATTATGGATGCAGTTTGGCATTCACTCTGATGTCCTATCGCACCAAGACGCACCACACAAAAGACATCACTGAATAGACCGGGCGACGGACGTGTACGCCTCCGTCCAAATGCTCAAGGATCGACGTATCCAGTCACAACCGCGTTGTAACCTGAAGGAGACTCACAGCTACTATGCAAGTACACAAGTCTCTTGCTTATATAATTACTACGTGTACACTATTATTATTATTATTATTATTATTGTTATATTAGTGCCTAGCCTTCTGATTTTGTAACTGGTCTCTATTCAAGCAGCACTAGTAACATCCAACGTCAACTAGTTATGGGGGTCCTCGTTACTGCGAGTAACATTGGGATCAACAGAAGTTGTTGATTTTATCGGCTTACCGCCTACGGACTGAAAAAGGTGACATACGCATACTTAGGATGTTCTATGGCACGAACGCCAGCGGGACAAAAATAATGTAAACGACCACCACAATGAGAGTAACGAATAACTATTTTCATTCATGGCGTACCCGAGCTGCCGACAACCGGCAACGAAGAAGCCCACACGCATGACCTGGAAGCTTGGCGTTACATCCATGAAGTTCTCCCTGTGTGCGGCGACGTCATACTTCAGTCGATTACACGGTTACCCTGTCGCCAAACTAGAGAGGCAGTGGCTTGAAGATCCTGAAACTAACGCTGCAGTCATAACAGATGGCCGTAAAGTTAATCCACTGCTGGCATTTACTACGCAACACAGTTTCTTCGGAACTACGATTGGATACAACCGTTAGAGAGCCACAGCCAGAGGGTGTTCTCGCGGAAACGACACCACCCGCGACTCAACGTAACCACAACAGCGATTCAGAAACCTTTGCGCTAAGACCCGTAGCTATCGAGATGGCTGTTTATGGACTACATATCGCAGGTGCAAGTGCCACTAAAAACAGATTGCATTCGTATCGAGAAGTAGCTATTCACCCAAAAAACGTTTAGGTACCGGTTTGTCACCGGTCGGCACAAATCCACATCATTCATGGGCTCTTAGTAAACAGCTTTTGACATCCGAGAAGCTTTCCCGTATGTACACCAACGTTCAAGGTTTACTGAGTAAACTTTCCAAAATGCGACTGCCTCAAGCATCAAAAGCCTGCGACCTCATCGTTACAACGGAGACATGGTTATGCCCTGACATAAGTGACATGGGGATCGCACTACCTGGCATGTCCATTGTTCGGCACGACGGACTCAACAAAGGTGAATGGGTGGCTCTGTACTTCCGCAACGACATCCAAGTTCAGCTCATAGAGGATCTGGGCAACAAGGTACAATAGTCCCTTTAGTGCAGTCTACTTTTAAAAGGCGACAACACTTGCTTACTGTCGGTCATTTACCACCCTTCTCCCTCCACGACCTAGATTGACTCCCATCTGGCATCCGCAATAAGGAAGGTGCTAAACACAACGTACTGTCACATTCTCATTACTGGAAATTTCAAAATCCAAGTTCTAGAATCCCAAGCAGCTTCCAGAGAACAGTTTAAGTTAAGTCGCCAAGAGTTTGACTCCAGTTACCCGCTGTATGGCCACATCAATACTCCCACCCGATTCCGAGCGAAAGATAAGGCTTCGGTGAGAATGTTCAGCTGAGCTCCTGGCTCGATTCTTCCAACACTGTTTTGGAGAACTGTACATGCACGATAAGTGGAAACACGGGATGATTACTCCTATTCACAAGAGAAGTAGTCGTTCCTTTCCAGCCAACTACCGTCCCATAATCTTACTATCGCTTCTTTCAAAGATCATGGAAGCCATAATTTCTGATGCGCCAAAGGCCTGCTTGAAAGAATTTAACTACCTCGCACCGGAACAGCATGGCTTCTGACGAAATCGATCGTGCAATACAAATCTACTGCTAGTACGATCCAGCTGGACTGAAACAGTAGACTCTGGTACATGAGTTGATGTAGTCTTTCTGGACTTATCAAAGGCGTTCGACCGGTTAGATCATAACATTCTGCTCATCAAACTCTAGACCTTTGGTATTCGTGATATCCTAGGATGGATCAGAAGCTTTCTTCTACACTGACGTTTGGAAGTACGTGTTCGTGAATCGCTGTCAGATCCCATCCGAGTTGTATGCGGAGTACCACAAGGATAGGTAGTTAGAGCGTGATTACTTTTGACCTAAATTATAACATTTTTGTGTTCGTGGCATTCCGTGAACTATACTTCCTGACCTCGTGCACTTAGCTAGGATTTGTTTGTAATCAACTTATTACATTTGCTATTTAATTGAGGTTTATATCACCGTTTCCTTGTGCATTAATCGAGTTTTTCTCTTTTTCTTTCTCTCTCTCTCTCAAGTGTTTGGCTGTTGTTTGATATCCCCGGTGTGGCTGCGCTTGATGTGCAGGTTGACAAGGTGCCTACCTGACTATTACCCACTACCTCGTCCATACTGGCTCCAGGAGACAGTTGGTCGTTGCTGGAGGGGACAGGGGTGCACGGTCCTTGTGGCCGTGCTAGGATCAAACAGTGTTTCCATGCAGTCAGTGTGGAGCGGACTACGGTCCAGCCACTGCCTTGTGTGCGCTTGATTCCCAAATACAGTGTGCTTGTGTTTGCCTGTGAAGGAGTGTGGGCCGGCTCGGTTGATGAAACGCGGTTCCCATCCGCATGCCTCCCGGTCTTATTCCTTCGGGTTTACACTGGATATGGGATGTGTGGTTGGAGCTGTGGGTGGTGCAGCGCAAGCCATCATTGGTCCCTCTGTAGGCGCAGGCGTCCTGTGTCTGGCCACAGTGACAGGCAAATCCGAAACCGGATGCCGCCAACCAATCATTGCTTTCCATTTGAGCAATTTTCGGCAAGGCCTTTAGAACCCCGCATTAACTCACATTGCACAGTAGGGAAACCACATTTGTGCAAATGACCCATTGATCACGGGTGAAGAACTGCCTTGGAAATGTCCATTACTTTTGTTTATGTTTTGCTAGTTCGCTTCTGTTTGTTGATCCTCAGGACATTTCTGCAACTGCAGCATAATATTTGAACTCTACGACACTTTTACCACGATGCAGCGACTCTGTCGAGTAATAAGCGTCACATAGACTTCGTGTGCAAATCAGCCAACTGCTCGCGTTGGTAAATGCTTTACACCTAGGGCCAGGCTTCGAAACTCCTTCATACTAGATTCACAAAGATTTCCTTGATACCAAATATAAGAATATCTACCTACGCAGTCTGATTTCCCTGTTTGAAATGTCTGTTTGGCTAGTAGCTCATAAAATCTTAGCACCATTTATCAGATACTTGTAATTCCAACAGTGGATACGGGCTTCGACGTTGCCCAAGCAACTCAGGAGGATTGTCACAGCCACCTTCATTTAGACAGCCACTGTACATCTTGAAAAGTATTAGAAATCCGTTTCACCCTTTCCATATTTACTTACAGTACGTATTGTGTTTATTCGCTGGGGGCTAAGAACCTGTTACCCTACTGTGACTAGTTCTTGGTTAAGATAAATGTTCGTCGAAAAGTTAATCTAGGTTCTTTCTCTCATTAAGTGAGGTTCATCGCAGCCAGTTTCCAAATCAGATAGTCGTCCACATGCCCGGAAAAGCACTAGATTGCAGTTTCAGCCTGTTGGGCATCGTCAGCAGTGCGCATCCATCGGATCCAACACGATTCGAACCCATGACCACCAGCGGCTTGAACCGCCAGTCAGCAGCTTATGCCACTGGGCCACGGGGGACAGCTTCGGACCGTCATGATTTACAAGCTAACTACGATTTAGCGCGTCTTATCCTCCGCTACCATGCAAGTTACGAACGTTGCAGAGGACAGGGTTGGCCCCGAAAGACACGACGTCCACTAACAGAAGCTATGTACGACATAGCATTTAGAAACTGTCAAGGCGGATATATATATGACAGTTTCTAAATGTTTTGTCGTACATAGCTACTGTTAGTGGACGTCGTGTCTTTCGGGGCCAACCCTGTCCTCTGAAACGTTCGTAACTTGCATGGCAGCGGAGGATAAGACGCGCTAAATCGCAGTTAGCTTGTAAATCATGACGGTCCGAAGCTGTCCCCCGTGGCCCAGTGGCATAAGCTGCTGAATGGCGGTTCAAGCCGCTGGTGGTCTTGGGTTCGAATCCTGTTGGATCCGATGGATGCGCACTACTGACGATGCCCGACAGGCTGAAACTGCAGTCTGGTGCTTTTCCGGGCATGTGGACGACTATCTGATTTGGAAACTGGCTGCGATGAACCTCACTTAATTACATCAAAATCCCCTACTCATGAGTATCTTTCCCTCATTACTCTCGAAAACAACAGGCGCCTATTTTCTTTCATTTGCCTCAGCGCCTACTGATTTCGTTGCGTTATGATTGGATGCATGCGACTTCCATCCGTACAATGTGATTGGCAGTTGAGATTGGCCAACGGTGGCAAAGTTCCAAAGTCAAATTAGAGCACCGTCTCCTTCGTACAGACAGCGGTGAATGCATAGACTACCTTGAATCGCGTCCGCCTTTCGGCAAGATGTTTACCCATACCAGAAGAGCCGTTTGAGAACCATCGGATCAGGACGATACTACGGGTATGTAACCTTAAGATGTAACTTTCGAATATCCTTTTGTAATACCAAACGGTACACGCAAGTACGTTACAATGCGATTTTGTGGTGTCCAATATGGACGAAAGTGTAACTAGGGGCACAACCGCCGCGGCATAAAAAGCCTCACCATATATGAGTAGATGGTGAATCTGTCTGTCCACATAAATACATATCCGAATAAGTAATCGTAAGTACTGTTTGTGAACAGGATCCATCGCTTTTGCTGTTAGACAATCTAGACCCATAACAGCTACTCTCCTTTAATCCTTCTATCATCTGTTACCATCTGTTATTTTAACAAAGACCGCATGTGAGCGTTACTTGTTTGCTCTAAAATACGAGGTGTAGTGATTCGTTAATTCGTCAATGAAGCTGTACCAATGCTCAGAACTAACCAACAACTACGCTGTAGATCACGTTGTACTTCTGAACAAGAAACAACCTATATCGCAACAGACACTTTACTGGTAAACTGTTTCCTACTTACCGACTGCCACATACATGTTGTTAACATTGGCAAGTATACTCATTAACCCGTTAACATTGTTTACGGACTAAGTTTGTCTCAACTAAAGGAGCCTTTTCGATGCATTACATGCAACTTAGTCAATAATGCCAAGTTCTTGGTGGGCGTACTCTGTGTATTTGGCAACATGGGTCCATGTTCCTAGGTCTAGCCTGTCGATAGGTCCTTAATTTCCTAGCGACTGACATTGCTGGATATGCTTTTATAAAGCGTGGATGACAACTTGGCAGTTCGAAGAATACAACTCTCGCATGATGGAACAGTGCCGTCTTGCGAGATCGAGATTACACCGTTCTATCTGTGGGCAGTCAAACACGTCCAACCCACTGTTTACTGATTTCCAATGTGCATCGCTTGTGAAGTCGATTCGCGTGGGAATATTTGAATTCTGATACTACAACCAGCTTGTGTCTTATTTGGGAGCCATACACTGAAGCTAGCAGCCGCCATCGGCATCACGGATTGCGATGAACAAAGTCAGACGTAATCACGAGCTATTGAATATACACGTATGACTAATCTGTCATCCATAGATGCGCTGACAAGCCATATCAATGTAGAACATTTCTGTCCAATAAATCTAATTCACTGGGTAACACATGTTCGATTTCGTCTTTCAAGTAGTGAAAACGTGTGATTTCGGTAGTGGTTTCGGTAAACATTCTGTTAGTGTGCAGACTTAAACCGAACCGTCAATGAAGTCGGACCTAGTGACTTTTACGATGGAATCTTTCACCAAATCAGTGACTTCACCCATTGCGCATTTGTGAATCGTCTATTCTGATGGGGCACAGTCAGACAAGGCCAATGTTTCTGAGATAGCATATCATCATGGATAAAGTGATAGGAATTACAGTGTTTTGTTCTGCAAATTGTAGCGCATTCTTCGGTAACAATAATAGTTTTGCTGTCGAATGTGATCGCTCGCCCGAAAGAACCTTCACACTCAACTGAGTCGTCGTTATTTCCACCGGATAGAGATTTTGAGATTGAGCAGTTCCTATCTCCCCATGATGCACTCCAGTGTGTAACAATACCGTTGGCCGTAAAATTTGCAAAACTTGTTAATTACACTCGAAGCATTTGTCCAATCGGCATGTGAGCTCTGTGAATAGAAACCTCGCTGCCTCATGTAAATCAGCGGAAGCTGCGCATACTGTAGATGAAGCTGACTTAGGCTACCGGACTATCGCATAAAACCCATTCGACAGCTGCTACATTTCGAGCACAGCGCAGAAATCTGCATAAACCATGCTCGCTCAATTGAACTATATCCAAAAACTGAGATACAGCACTCTCCTGTTCATTTTTATACTCCAAACATAAGATATGTCTGTTCCTCGGGTATATACGTATACTGACTACGTGCGCCGATATGGAAGTGACATAATTCATGTGAACAGATTCCAAGCAGTAATGGCGGCCAAACATAATCCTGACAACAATAAATAAATAAATAAATGGTATATTCCTCGGTGATTCGAGGTGCAGTCCAACTATGTGGTCTGATCAATGTGTACAACAGGATCGCAAAAAAATAATCACTTTGTTCACGCGTTTTACAATGGATCCAAAACAGGTACTAAACTAACTGGCAGGATTAAGCCATTAAAGAAATTAAGAACCAGGAACAATAACGTAAGCAGATACAAACAGATGTCCAGTTAAAGTAATACGGCCACTCGTGGAACCATCCCCAGGGGACCTGCTTCCATGCATGGTATTCCCTCGAAAGGTTTCGCTCGCACTTCCATGCAATAACTGGCCGTGTGCCGGTGTGGCATAGTAGCATATGAGCCATCACCTGTTTATCATATGCTCTGTTCTTTTTAGAGCTGCTTTTGTACATGTATTATGGGCCATGAAGGCTCAGCCCAGTCCGTCATGCGGATCATTCTATTATGGCACTTTTTCCATACGCCAGTCAGTTGGTGGTAATTTGTCTTGCATAGGTAACGTCTTTTATAATCTGGAAGCTGTAATCCGTCACCACAGAAGATCAGTCTAGTCATGGCCAGCTATGAAATAAGGAAGAATATAGAAGAGATGAATTATGTGAAAACTATATCGTTAGTGTAAAAAATAGGCGGGGTATGTTTTGTACATCGGCGTAGAAATCGATCGAGCCGATCATACGATAAATTGTGTAGCGTGACAGCCGGAGACAGATGACTGTACGAGTTGTCCATAGGCAAAAGTCGCATAGGGAATCAGTTATTGCCATCACTGAATTCAGGTATATGTTTCTGGACTGTTAACTTCAGAAAAGAAGGGGAAATGATTAGCACTGGAGAACAAATGTAGCGAAAGGGATCGCAGAACAATATTACGAATTAATCAATTTGTGGGGGAAATTACGAAAATAGTTCCTGACGTCACACCAGTAAATAATTTTGCTCTCGGTTTTAAACAGAAGACAGTTGGTATGAATTAAGTTTAAAGGGAGTAAAACCGCATGGAAGGTAGCGTTAAGGAATAGCATAAGAAGCGGTTTGTAGCAGCTCATCCTAGCTGATCATGTTTTCTCTGGTGCAGTAGAGTTGATGTTCCCCGGTTTCATACATGATCCGGCCCTACTTCATTCATATTTTCATCATCAAGTTGAATGTTTAAGATCCATTTCGCTCTGTCCGTTGACAGATAAGCCTTTATCATTTTCTTGAACATGCAGAAATGTTCACTACATCTAATCTCTTTTGGCAGCTTATTCCAAATGGAGCCATACCTAAGAAGATAAAAATTTCTCCTTAGACTGCTCTTGAATTTAGGTAAATCGAATATGCATTCATTATCTCGCAGTTCATAAATGGGGTTGTCCCGAAAGTGCAATTGATAGGTTCCAGTATCTGCTTTTCGCCCCGCGAGTTTGTGGAGGAAGCACAGATTTAATTGCATTCTTCGTAACCACAGAGGTTCAAGATTCAACTGCTTGCACCTATCTCGGTATGAAAGAGCGGTTGAACCGCCAAATATGCGCTTCGTAAAGACGCGTTGGACGTTTTCAATGGAACAATGGTATATAAAGGGTAAAAAGCATAGGATGAACAGGTCCCTTAGGATGATAAAGAAAAGTAATAAAATTAACTACTAGTGTGCCCATTAACTTGAATGCACACAGCTGAACTCACTGAGGTGTTCAACTGCTGACAAGTATGAATTCACCTGGTTGGAAATCAGGAACACACCGTTTGATCGCACAATCTATCCTACTGATCAACAGTAATATAATGGAATAAGAGTGACACAGTGTGTCGTCAAGTCCTTTTAAAATATCGTTAGACTGTGGGCAGAAACGATGTAATCCAGGAGAGTGTTTCACGGTTGACACACCCGAATGGAAAGAATACATTGCGACGGCATTCCTGCAGGCTATACTATATGGTGTGTTTTAAAGATTAAAAGCACTCATTGGTTTTATGGCGCATTTTCAGCAGCGGGCGTCAAATGCGGTTTACATCCTTCAGTATATAGTAAACTATTATGAGCTCCCACCGCAGGCGTCCATACCGAATGCCGCACATTCCTTGTGGCCTCAATCTTGGCTGGCAGGATTGAAAGAAGACGCCCTTACCGTTGTTGGATGCCCTTCGTCGGGGATTCGCGAGTGTAGGGAGATCTCGCCACGGCCACACGTGCCAAGCTTGCATGGGCGTATACCACGTGCAGTCGCAAGTAGCAGTTAAGCATTTCTGGGAAGTTTGAGAGGCCAAACCGACCGAACGCACTATGGAAAAGGTCGATGTGCTGATTGCCGGCAGTTAACGTATTCACAGATTGTTTCGAACAGCTGATTTTGTCCTGGACCAGTATCTCAAGGTTAAGCTCCGGGGCGAACATTACTGTGAGGTGTATTCTCCAAGTTTGTGAGCGCTCGTCGACTGATGACACATAAGATTCACCATGCACTTAGCCGTGTCAAACTGGAAGAAGTACCTCGCCGAGCATTCTTGAACGGCATTTAGCTCACATTGAAATAAATTTTGATTGTCAGTTATATTAATCGCCCGCCTTATCTGAGATCATCGGAAAACTGCAGGAATTTAGAGGCGGTAACACTTGTCAAATCATTGATAATCATCAGGAATAGTCGCGGTACTATCCGTGGAATATGTGGAAAGTCGCGTTCAATTCAGTCAGTTTGGAGGCGCACCGCCTAACTCGCACTTGAAGCCTCCGTTAGTGACGAAATTTGGCTATTCCCCCGTAGGACAGCTCTCCTGTTTCATGCCTCTGTAGCCTGTGAGGTAGGATGCCATGATTCAGAGAGTCGAAAGCTTCGGGAACGTTCAAGTAGATGGTGTCGGTCCCGAACCCAACATTAAACGCTTCGAGCCAACTGTTTCGAGACATCAGCAGTGTAGCGACGACACGAAGTCTAGACTAAGTAATCGCATGAGACGGGATAGGAAAACTGTAGGCTAGTTGACCTATACCATAGGTATCATCTGGGCAGAGA